TATAATATATATATATATATATATATATATATATATATATATATATATATATATATATATATATATATATATATATATATATATATATATATATATATATATAATATATATATATAACAAAGTGGTCAAGTGCCCCATCCGGCACTATCGGGGGGGCACTTACCAGCGCCGCAGGCCCTTCAAATTTGGCAGGTTCTTGCCTTGGGGCAATAGAACGCAGTCTACGAAGAGGGGGTCAAAACTGACCTTGACGTTTGCCAAACGACCCCCCTTGATATTTTGTGAGGTGGTAGAAGAACGCCTAGGGTTGTCAGGAAAAACTCTCCATACCTGGGAAAAATCTAGAAATTGGTCAAAACTGACCAGTCATATTTCTCAATATAATCTTTGTATTTTATGGTCAAAACAGATGGTAATTTCAAACACAAATTTAGGGTACTTAACCTCTGTATATCTGGCTAATTTTTTGCATGCACCTCTATAGATGACTAGACCGTATGGAAAAATCTATTGGTCAGACTAAAAGCCCTTGATGAGGGCTAAAAAGTGACTGTGATTAAATTCTCAATATATGTAATATATAGAATATATATATATATATAAATAAATATACAAACCATCCCCCTAATATTTTGTGAGGTCGTACCTGGAGGGTAACAAAGAAACTTTATTCCCATCGGAAAAACCGTTTAGGGTCGTTAGATTTGCCCAGATGCCGTATTTTCTTATATATTTAAACAATTATTTGTGAAAAAGTAAACAGACTAAATCATTGGTCTATGTACAGGGGAGGTAACTTTTTAAAATAATAATTATTAAATAATTTTCATACTATTTTAAAGAAAAAACAAAAATCACAAAGTATAGCATTCGTTTACCTCATTATAAATTAAATTATGTATTGTACTGAAATTGTGAAAATTAATTGCAAAAGTGAATATTATATAATATTTGATTTATACTATTATGAAAGCCTTTGCAGTTCTACAAAACTTGCGAGTAATAAGTATGCAAATACAGCTATTTTTAGAATACAAGAAATTACTTTAACTGTTTAAACTTAGGCCCTAACATAGTTTAATGAAAGCTTGTTTCGGCATTCTATAAATTAAGCATTTATTTTAGTTAACGTTTTAATTTTAGTAAAACATCAGCAATAATTTTAAACTGCAAGAAATATAAAGAATATATCAAATTTGAGCTTTTTATCTATAATATTAACTGTCATTGCCTTTAAAATGTATGTGCTGTTAAAAATAATGTTGTTACATTTTTTACAAATGTATGTACAGTAGCCTGTAGTTATCCCCTAGTTGGTAACTGGTCCTCTATCTCTCCATAGAAAGAAGCTTACTTTCACAGCTCTTTGGTAGTGGTTGGCATTTATCTACTCTGTTGCCTGACTGTGTTTTTCGGAACTCAAGAAAAAAAAGGTTCTATTTGCTTTAGAACTAGTTTCTAATTGTCAGGGATATTAACCTAAAAGGAAATTTAGTCTCCAAACTTTATTATACCAAACTTTCAGTACTTCACTTTAATTACCAACATTGAATTACTGAACTTTAATCAGAAAACTTAATGAGCAGGTGTCATTATGTCATGAGCAGGTGTCCTTATGGATAGCAAAGAACATGAGATGGGATTTTTTACAGGCATCAAAACAGTCTTCACCTACAGACCGTATCTCTGGGCTTCTCTCACTTTTTTGTTCTTAACTATAGCCATACAGGTAACTACATCAGTCACATAGCCATACACAGGTAACTACATCAGTCACATATCCATACAGGTAACTACATCAGTCACATAGCTATACAGGTAACTACATCAGTCACATAGCCATACAGGTAACTACATCAGTCACATAGCAATACAGGTAACTACATCAGTCACATAGCAATACAGGTAACTACATCAGTCACATAGCCATACAGGTAACTACATCAGTCACATATCCATACAGGTAACTATATCAGTCACATATCCATACAGGTAACTACATCAGTCACATATCCATACAGGTAACTACATCAGTCACATAGCAATACAGGTAACTACATCAGTCACATATCCATACAGGTAACTACATCAGTCACATATCCATACAGGTAACTACATCAGTCACATAGCAATACAGGTAACTACATCAGTCACATATCCATACAGGTAACTACATCAGTCACATAGCTATACAGGTAACTACATCAGTCACATAGCCATACAGGTAACTACATCAGTCACATAGCAATACAGGTAACTACATCAGTCACATAGCAATACAGGTAACTACATCAGTCACATAGCCATACAGGTAACTACATCAGTCACATATCCATACAGGTAACTATATCAGTCACATATCCATACAGGTAACTACATCAGTCACATATCCATACAGGTAACTACATCAGTCACATAGCAATACAGGTAACTACATCAGTCACATATCCATACAGGTAACTACATCAGTCACATATCCATACAGGTAACTACATCAGTCACATAGCAATACAGGTAACTACATCAGTCACATATCCATACAGGTAACTACATCAGTCACATATCCATACAGGTAACTATATCAGTCACATATCCATACAGGTAACCATCACATCACCTGTACCATCACATCATCACCTGTACCATCACATCACCTGTACCATCACATCACCTGTACCATCACATCACCTGCACCATCACATCAACTGTACCATCACATCACCGGCACCATCACATCATAACCTGTAGCATCACATCATCACCTGTACCATCACATCATCTGTACCATCACATCACCTATACCATCACATCACCTGTACCCTCACATCACCTGTACCATCACATCATCACCTGTACCATCACATCATCACCCATACCATCACACCATCACCTGTAGTATCGCATCATCACCTGCACCATCACATCACCTGTACCATCACATCACCTGTACCATCAGATCACCTGCACCATCACATCACCTGCACCATCACATCACCTGTACCATCACATCATCACCTGTACCATCACATCACCTGTATCATCACATCACCTGTAGCATCACATCACCTGTACCATCATATCACCTGCACCATCACATCATCACCTGTACCATCACATCACCTGTACCATCATATCACCTGTACCATCACATCACCTGTATCATCACATCACCTGTATCATCACATCACCTGTACCATCACATCACCTGTACCATCACATCACCTGTACCATCACACCATCACCTGTACCATCACATCACCTGTACCATCACACCATCACATGTACCATCACATCACCTGATGACTTGTGCTATTCACCAGACTGTCCAGGGGAACATCGCCTTGTTCTGTACCCACACACTGAAGGAGGGAGAGGAGTTCTCTAAATTTATTTTGGTCTTATTGGTCAGTCTACTACCTTAGTGGAGTTTTAGTGTAGTCATAGGTTGAGTGCACTCATAGGTTTAGTGCAGTCATAGGTTTAGTGCAGTCATAGGTTTAGTGCACTCATAGGTTTAGTGCACTCATAGGTTTAGTGCACTCATAGGTTTAGTGCACTCATAGGTTTAGTGCAGTCATAGATTTAGTGCACTCATAGGTTTAGTGCACTCATAGGTTTAGTGCAGTCATAGGTTTAGTGCAGTCATAGGTTTAGTGCAGTCATAGGTGTAGTGCAGTCATAGGTGTAGTGCAGTCATAGGTTTAGTGCAGTCATAGGTTTAGTGCAGTCATAGGTTTAGTGCACTCATAGGTTTAGTGCACTCATAGGTTTAGTGCAGTCATAGGTTTAGTGCACTCATAGGTTTAGTGCACTCATAGGTTTAGTGCACTCATAGGTTTAGTGCACTCATAGGTTTAGTGCACTCATAGGTTTAGTGCACTCATAGGTTTAGTGCAGTCATAGATTTAGTGCACTCATAGGTTTAGTGCACTCATAGGTTTAGTGCAGTCATAGGTTTAGTGCAGTCATAGGTTTAGTGCAGTCATAGGTGTAGTGCAGTCATAGGTGTAGTGCAGTCATAGGTGTAGTGCAGTCATAGGTTTAGTGCAGTCATAGGTTTAGTGCACTCATAGGTTTAGTGCAGTCATAGGTTTAGTGCACTCATAGGTTTAGTGCACTCATAGGTTTAGTGCACTCATAGGTTTAGTGCAGTCATAGGTTTAGTGCAGTCATAGGTTTAGTGCACTCATAGGTTTAACGCAGTCATAGGTTTAGTACAGTCATAGGTTTAGTGCACTCATAGGTTTAGTGCAGTCATAGATTTAGTGCACTCATAGGTTTAGTGCAGTCATAGGTTTAGTGCAGTCATAGGTTTAGTGCAGTCATAGGTTTAGTGCAATCATAGGTTTAGTACAGTCATAGGTTTAGTGCAGTCATAGGTTTAGTGCAGTCATAGGTTTAGTGCAGTCATAGGTTTAGTGCAGTCATAGGATTAGTGCTAACCACCCACCTAACCACCCAGCTAACCCAAACCACCCAGCTAACCACCCAGCTAACCATCTACCTAACCATCCACCTAACCATCCACCTAACCATCCAGCTAACCATCCACCTAACCATCCACCTATCCACCCAGCTAACCTTCCAGCTAACCATCCACCTAACCATCCACTGACCATCCAGCTAACCACCCAGATAACCGTCTAGCTAACCACCCAGCTAACCATCCAGCTAACCATCCAGCTAACCAACTGATAGGTTTAGTGCAGTCATAGGTTTAGTGCACTCATATGTTTAGTGCAGTCATAGATTTAGTGCACTCATAGGTTTAGTGCAGTCATAGGTTTAGTGCACTCACATGTTTAGTGCAGTCATAGGTTTAGTGCAGTCATAGGTTTAGTGCAATCATAGGTTTAGTACAGTCATAGGTTTAGTGCAGTCATAGGATTAGTGCAGTCATAGGTTTAGTGCAGTCATAGGTTTAGTGCAGTCATAGGTTTAGTGCTAACCACCCACCTAACCACCCAGCTAACCCAAACCACCCAGCTAACCACCCAGCTAACCATCCAGCTAACCATCCACCTAACCATCCACCTAACCATCCACCTAACCATCCAGCTAACCATCCACCTAACCATCCACCTAACCATCCAGCTAACCATCCACCTAACCATCCACCTATCCACCCAGCTAACCTTCCAGCTAACCATCCACCTAACCATCCACTGACCATCTAGCTAACCACCCAGCTAACCACCCAGATAACCGTCTAGCTAACCACCCAGCTAACCATCCAGCTAACCATCCAGCTAACCAACCAGCTAACCATCCACATAACCATCCACTGACCATCCAGCTAACCACCCAGCTAACCACCCAGCTAACCATCCACATAACCATCCACTGACCATCCAGCTAACCAACCAGCTAACCACCCAGCTAACCATCCACATAACCATCCACTGACCATCCAGCTAACCACCCAGCTAACCACCCAGATAACCGTCTAGCTAACCACCCAGCTAACCATCCAGCTAACCATCCACATAACCATCCACTGACCATCCAGCTAACCACCCAGCTAACCACCCAGATAACCATCCAGCTAACCATCCAGCTAACCACCCAGATAACCATCCAGCTAACCACCCAGATAACCATCCAGCTAACCACCCAGCTAACCCAAATGTTTTGTGCCCAACAGATTGTGTCTATTGTATCTATGCCAGGTTGGCATTTGATTTCTGGAAGATTTGGCAAGAAAAAAGCTTATGCTGCTGGCATGATAGTAAGATAAGAGTAGACCAGTCAGTTCAGTGAATGAGTGAGTGAATTAAAACTGTGTGAATAAGTGAGTGAATTAACACTAAGTAAATGAGTGAGTGAATTAACACTAAGTAAATGAGTGAGTGAATTAAAACTGCGTGAATGAGTGAGTGAATTAACACTAAGTAAATAAGTGAGTGAATTAAAACTGTGTGAATAAGTAAGTGAATTAAAACTGTGTGAATGACAGAGTGAATTAAAACTGCGTGAATGAGTAAATGAATTAACACTAAGTAAATGAGTAAGTGAATTAACACTAAGTAAATGAGTGAGTGAATTAACACTAAGTAAATGAGTGAGTGAATTAACACTAAGTAAATGAGTAAGTGAATTAACACTAAGTAAATGAGTGAGTGAATTAACACTAAGTAAATGAGTAAGTGAATTAACACTAAGTAAATGAGTAAGTGAATTAACACTAAGTAAATGAGTAAGTGAATTAACACTAAGTAAATGAGTGAGTGAATTAAAACTGCATGAATGAGTGAGTGAATTAACACTAAGTAAATGAGTGAGTGAATTAACACTAAGTAAATGAGTAAGTGAATTAACACTAAGTAAATGAGTAAGTGAATTAACACTAAGTAAATGAGTGAGTGAATTAAAACTGCGTGAATGAGTGAGTGAATTAAAACTGTGTGAATAAGTAAGTGAATTAAAACTGTGTGAATGAGTGAGTGAATTAACACTAATTAAATGAGTGAGTGAATTAAAACTGTGTGAATGAGTGAGTGAATTAACACTAAGTAAATGAGTGAGTGAATTAACACTAAGTAAATGAGTGAGTGAATTAACACTGTGTTCCTTGTATGTTCCCACAGTTGATGCTACCTATACTATTCACACAACTTTTTATGCCAGCTAATTCTAAAGAAATGTATTACTGTGTAATGGTTGTTGCTGGTCTAAGCATTTCTGTCAGCTTTCTTTTGCCTTGGTAGGTCATTGTTTGATTACATTTTGTTGTGTGTAGGTCATTGTTTGATTACATTTTGTTGTGTGTAGGTCATTGTTTGATTACATCTTGTGTGTAGGTCATTGTTTGATTACATCTTGTGTGTAGGTCATTGTTTGATTACATCTTGTGTGTAGGTCATTGATTGATTACATCTTGTTATGTGTAGGTCATTGATTGATTACATCTTGTGTGTAGGTAATTGATTGATTACATCTTGTGTGTAGGTCATTGATTGATTACATCTTGTGTGTAGGTCATTGTTTGATTACATCTTGTGTGTAGGTAATTGATTGATTACATCTTGTGTGTAGGTCATTGATTGATTACATCTTGTGTGTAGGTCATTGATTGTTGATACCTTGAACCATTAGCTGCCAATTTTCCTCCCATTGATTAGGTCCGTGTTGCCAGATGTATTGGACTTGTACACAATAGAAAAGAATGTTCGCCATGATGCTGTCTTCTACTCATTTTATGTTTTTTTTAACAAAATAGCTTCTGGGATAGCATTGGCTGTATCACAGTTGGCATTAGAGTAAGGCTCTTATAGGCTACATATGTATGTGTGTATATATATATATATATATATATATATATATATATATATATATATATATATATATATATATATATATATATATATATATATATATGTATATACATATCTATAATATAGATCATTTTGTGTTAACAAATGTTAAAAGACCATTACAATAATAGCTATACGTTTAAATACCAGGTTTATGTGATGTTTGTGTACCATGTTTGGTGGCTATGTAAACGGAGAATGTTTATGTGATGTTTGTGTACCAGGTTTGGTGGCTATGTAAGCGGAGAATGTTTATGTGATGTTTGTGTACCATGTTTGGTGGCTATGTAAGCGGAGAATGTTTATGTGATGTTTGTGTACCATGTTTGGTGGCTATGTAAGCGGAGAATGTTTATGTGATGTTTGTGTACCATGTTTGGTGGCTATGTAAGCGGAGAATGTTTATGTGATGTTTGTGTACCAGGTTTGGTGGCTATGTAAGTGGAGAATGTTTATGTGATGTTTGTGTACCAGGTTTGGTGGCTATGTAAGCGGAGAATGTTTATGTGATGTTTGTGTACCAGGTTTGGTGGCTATGTAAGCGGAGAATGTAAGCAACCCGACTCTGTGGCTGAAACCTTGAGGCTGCTGGTGACACCCGGCCCAGTTGTTCTAGTCCTGCTTGCCCTCATCTGCCTGTACAAATATCCCATCGATGAGGAGCGCAGGCTGTGGATCAGAGATCAAATCACTACCATGACTCTTGAGTAAGTGACATGACTCTTGAGTAAGTGACATGACTCTTGAGTAAGTGACATGACTCTTGAGTAAGTGACATGACTCTTGAGTGACTCTCATGACTCGTGAGTGTTAGTCTAGCAATACACATTAATACTTTAGTAAAAAATATTTTCACTTTTGCTGAACACACAAGTTAACCTTGATATCTGTACACATCTTCTCACATTAACCTTGATATCTGTACACATCTTCTCATGTTAACCTTGATATCTGTACACATCTTCTCATGTTAACCTTGATATCTGTACACATCTTCTCATGTTAACCTTGATATCTGTACACACCTGACGTTAACCGTGATATGTGAAGCAATTTACAACTTAACCTTGTCAAGTGCTGACTGTTTAAATCTGACCTTGACTTTTATTCCAGAATTGAAAAAAGCACAGTGCCTTGGGTAGACACAAGTAAAAGCTATGAAAGTATGAAGCCTGTATCTGATACTGAGATGTAGATGATTGTCTTTTGATGTGGATCAGTTGTGTAGAAACTTAACGTGTTAATCACTATAAATTGTTAAGTATAAACTGTTATATTATACTGATAAAGATAAATTGTTATATTACACTGATAAATATAAACATATATGATGTTGTTTTATATAGTTTATTAAATATATCAGACACCAGTCCCTTATAATATACTAGACTACCCGTCACCCTTTGTATAACTGGGTTTCGGGGGTCGTCCATAAATGACATGTAACCCGCCAAGTGCCGATAGGTAAATTTATCATTCACATCTAAAAAAAATAATTAACATTGACATGATGAGTCTCAACCCCATGCCACCCGCATGGGAACTTAATACACTAACATCTTAGCTATCTAGGCTTATAGATTCAGGTACGTAACTACTGATCTATTCTACTTTTATTCTAGATCTATAACTTTTCATTCCTTCAACAGCTGATTTGTAGATTCTAGATCTAGAGAAATTTATTGTATGCTAAAATAAAAAGAATTGTTAAAAATGGTAAATAGTGTTGGAACCTAATAAAAATAGCAAACGGACGTAGCGTTAAAGCTATAGCCGACAGAAACTTAGCTTTATAACACGTTAAACTTTTGAATGGGCACCAGAATCTTCGATGGAAGCCGCCATTATTGTTATAAAAAGTAAATAAATCATGTGATGTCACTATAAGTAAAGTCATTGTTCTGAACTTTTATAATTAATATGGTTAATCTAACAATAAATTAATTATTTTTTGACGAAAAGTTTGTTTAAAAAAGAAAATTGTTCTCTACCTAATTACGTATTGTCAGATTATCTCCTGTAACCAAACGGACAAATAAAAAAAAAATTAAAAAAAAAAATATTCAAACATGTAAGCAAACTTGAGTTTTAGATGTATACTAGACTATCCATTATCTAATGAGATAACTGTGGGTTTTGGGGGGTCATCCATAAATGACATCACCTCTGTCACTATTAATCACAAAATAACCAGACCCCACATTCAAAAAGACGTAAATTGAAAAAAAAATTAACATTGACATGATGTGTCCAGAACCCGTGCCACCCGCATGGAAGCCTATTTCACTAACAACTTAGCTATCTAGACTAGCGACGTCATTGACGTTTTTGTGCTATTTATAAACTTGATTTACGCGAAAAGGCCCAAGATCTAGTATCTTTCAAATTTGTCGATCCGTATTAACTTTTCAGCCTATAACTTGAGTACTATTTCAGGTAGATAAATGTAATTTCGCATGTAAGTAAAAGATCTAATTCTCTGCCTTCTATGAAATTTCGAGTAATTTCCGTTGACAGGAAGTAGTAATTTACGCTATTTCCGATTTCTCAAAAAACTCATGTGAATTTATAAAGTACTAATAATTAACCGCACTATTAGACGCATTTTTTTTTTTTTGGCGTCCACTTGGTTTGCAGTTCTTTTTTTCTACGAGATTCTATTCTATTTTTGAAAGTTTAAGCAATTAAAAATGGAATTAAAAAATCATGTTTATATCCCGCTTTGCCATCCCCTGTTGTTTCATATAAGAATATTCGAAAAGTTTAAGGAAGATAACTCCTGGTTTATTTTGGTCTGGTTTGCTATGTTTGATTTGTGTGCTGGGTTTATTTTACATAATTTCGTGTACATGATATACATGATATTTTTACATGTGATATGTGTGATTCTTGTTTGTAATTATGTATGATAGTGATTCTTATAATATCATATGTGTGATTTTTGTTTGTATGATATATGTGATTCTTGCATTAATACTAATAGTTTCGCTGTCAGTCTATCTGTTTATGTATGTATGTATCTGACAAGAACGCTATAGAGAAAACACAAGCAAATTAAAAACATGCATAGTAAAACGAAAACGAAACATGACGTCACATAAAAGCTTATAGTAGAATATTGTCTCAAGCCGGGAAAGTGCGTAGAATAGTATGACGTCATTGATTCTCGAGTAAACATTGAATTAAAAAGCCAATTTTGTTTAATCTTAAAAGTGGCTTGTGTGCAGTTTCTTTCATGCAATTTTCGGGTAGGGGCGAAGCCCCACCTCCGCGTAAGAACTAATCTTATAAGCGTTTTGCATGTAGAGTTTCTTTCATGCAATTCTTCGGGTATTGGCTAAGCGCGATACCATTGTTTCTTTCAGACTTTTTCCTCCCCGGAGAGTGGTGGTGGTACTTGAAATTTTCGGGGTGGGGGTGGAATTTTCTCGGAGGGAGCGGACACTGGAAAAAGTATGTAATTATATTTCGTTGAATAGGACGGTAGACATGTTTTGGGTGTGGGGGGGGGGGGGGCGGAGCCCCCTAATCCCAAGTAGAGTTGCCTGAAAGAAACTCTAAATGCTACTTTTGTCATGAATGAGATTAGGTGCATGGTTTAGGGATATACCTATGACTATATTTTGTATAAATGCGCGATAACTACGTGTAGATCAAATTAAAATCTCGATTCTTGATTAAAAATCCGTTTTTAGTGTCATTTTTCGTTTCTAGTTCAATTTGAGGTAAAGGTGTTTGCGTTTTTTTTTTTTTTGTTTTGTTTAAAGAAAAGAGACAACACTATCAACCTAGCGCCCGTTGTATCCTTCCTCAACGGGCCATTTTTCTCGTATATAATATGTGTGATTCTTGTACTTCTGATTTATGTGATTTCTTGTACATGTGAAATGTGTGATTTTTTTGTATGTGTGATATGTGTGATTCTTGTGTGTTATTGTGATTCTTGTGTGTGATTCGCCTTAGATCCTCTGAGTTTTCTTTGTGTGATCTCAGCTGTTGCTGGACTTTAAAAAACTTTTATTCGACCACAAGAATCAAAATGCTTAGAATCAACTCCAATGGTTAAAGCATAAATTATTTTTGTTGAGATTGACATGTAGGCAAAAGGAATACAAAAATAGATTTTTCAATAAATAGAAAGTGAGCTGAGGTTTGAAATATTTTCTTAAGGGTAATTGAAATGCATTCAAATAATTGGCTTTATATTATATTAAAAAAAATTAAAATGAATGAAAGTGGTGTTTTTGGGGCCTGCTCCAGTCAAAGATTCTATTGCTTGTAAATACAACAGCTGCTAACTATTGGGCTGACTTATTTCCTGCTTTACGCTATATAGTAATCAAAATAGTAATGTAGGGCTAAATGCTATATCTGGGCGGACGTCCATTAGAGCGTTGTGCTATTTCTATTATGGTTACACGGGTATAAGCTAGTATGTGTATATATATATATATATATATATATATGTATATATATATATATATATATATATATATATATATATATATATATATATGTATATATAATATCTATAATATAAGCGGCTAGGTAGTTTGTCAGTCCGTCATCGCTATAGATTTTGGAACCATAAAAGTAAACATCGCACCATGCAATGCTTTTCAGTGCATCACAGTGTCTTATTATAAAGGAGAAAAATGGCCCGTTGAGGAAGGATACAACGGGCTCTAGGTTGATAGTGCTGTCTATTTTTCTAAACCAAAACCAAAGCCACCACCTTAACCTCAAATTGAATCAGAAACGACAAATTACTTTGAAAACGTATTTTTATCAAGAATCGTCATTTTAATCGGATTTAAGCTTGATCTACACTTAGTTACCGCGCATTGATACTAAATACAGCCGTAGCCACACCCCTAAGCCATGCACCTAATCTCAATCATGACAAAAGTCGCATTTAGAGTTTCTTTCAGGCGACTCTACTTGGGGATAGGGGGCTCCGCCCTGCCCCCCCCCTCCCCTCCCCCCACACCCCAAAGCACGTCTACCGTCCCATTCAACGAAATATAATTATATACATTTTCAATTTTCCGCCCACTCCCAGAAAATTCCACCCCTGGCTGCCCCCGAAAATGTTCAAGTACTCGCTCTCCGGGGATGAAAAAGGTCTGAAAGAAACACTGGTCGCATTTGTAGATCATACAAACTAACGGTAGAAACTGTGCACGCGTAACACTTTTTAGATTAGAAAATTTAAAGTTCCCCTCTCCTCGGAGGAAAAAGTCTGAAAGAAACACTGGTGTCGCGCTTAGCCACTACCCGAAGAATTATATGAAAGAAACTCTAAATGTTTATACACATTAATTATGCCGTAATGTCAGTCTTTTTATTATAGAGTATCGATGACGTATATCTTTTGAGTTGGGGGGGGGGGGGGGGGCGGCTTAGATGTTCTACCGGGGTAAGGGCTTCGACCCTACCCGGAGAATTGTATGAAAGAAACTCTTCACGCAAACCACTCCTAAGATTAGACAACATTGGCTTTTTATTCAATGTTTACTCGAGAATCAATGACGTCATTTTACTGTGTGCCCTCTCCGGCTTGATACTATTTACTACTATATGCTAAATGTGACGTCATATTTCGTCTCCGTCTTACTGTGCGTGTTTTTATTTTGCTTGTATTTTCTCTAGAGCGTTCTTGTCAGATAGATATATACACAGATACATACACAGACAGCGAATTACAGTGTCTTATTATAAACTAGGCATGCTGCCCAGCTTCGCTTAGGCTTTCGAAAACATTGAGAATTTGAATGCTTAATTAATTCGCCCATATAAGGCGCCGGTCAGTCGAGGTCAGTTTTGACCCCCTCATCATAGACTTTTCGGCCAACCGGCCCCCGTGTTCTGTCGCCCCAAGGCAAGATCCTGCCAAATTTGAAGCGCCTGCGGCGCCGGGAAGTGCCCTATCGGGCACCCGACAACTTAGCTTTATGTATTATAGATTAGCAAATTGCATAGATAAACAAAGATTTCAATAAAGTAATTAAGGCCTGAAATACTTTAGTATAGAAATTTATTATTTGAATAGATTCTAGATCTAGGTAGGGTCTACATCTGTGTAAGTCTAGTTTTTCCGTAGATCTAGATCATCTAGATCTAGAATCTCTAGATCTAGATGATCTAGAATCTCTAGATCTAGATGATATAGAATCTTTAGATCTAGATGATCTAGAATATCTAGATCTAAAATCTCTACATCTAGATGATCTAGAATCTCTAGATCTAGAATCCAGATAGATGAAATAATTTGTTTAAGTTTAGGAAATAATTTAAGTTTAGGCCGAGAAAATCGTATTGTATACATTTCATAGCGTACATAGCTCTAAATCATATTTGAATGAAATAGTTCATTTCTTTTTATTCTAAACTCGGAAGATGACGTCATCAGTTTCGTGCTCTTTTTTTAGTGTAAACAATAAGCGACGTCATTGTTAAATGCGTTCTTGTCCCAAGTTTAAACACTTTTCCGGTTGCATAAATAAAATTGTTTTTCTACATTCGAATACGCCTTTATTTTTTATTTTTCTTCTTTAAATAAAATTGTGGTTATACATTTAAAACATCTAACATATTATTTTCAACAAAAGTCCGTATAAAGTTCTCCATATATCGCTGCAGTTTCTGATGTGATGTCCGGCGAATATATTTTGCGGACAGACAGACAGACAGAGAGAGAGAGAGAGAGAGAGAGAGGTGCGCACGGGGACTTTTATATATTAGGATATTAGAGTAGGGTTTGTTTATATAACGACATAAAGCTATTTTATAATTGCCACTGTTTTTACTCTTTTGCATAACGTAAAGAAGATATTAAATACACGCACATTGCTAAATAAACCGGGAGTGATCTCCCCTAAACTTTCTCGAATATTCTTATATAAAACAACAGGGGATGGGAACTCGGGCTATAGACATGATTTTTAATCCATTTTAAATACTTAAAGTTTTAAAAATAGAATAAAATTTCATAGACAAAAGAATTGCACACCAATTGAACGCCAAATAAAAAAGTGCATAATAGTGCGCAATATTATTAGTACTTTAAAAATTTACATTAGTTTTTTGAGAAATCGGAAGTAGCGTAAATTACTACTTCTGGTCAATGAAAATTACTCAAAATTTAACACCAGGTAGAAAATTAGATCCTTTACTTACATGTGAAATTTCATTTATCTATCTGAAATAGTACTCAAGTTATAGGCTTTTAAAAAATTCAAAGTAGAAAAAGTACCACTTCCGGTTATCGAAAATCGCTCAAAAGTTGATACGGATCTACGATTTTGATAAAATACTTATATATGAAATTTCATCAACCTAGTTGTAACGGTACTCAAGTTATCGTGTTTACACACGGACAGACAGACACACAGACATACGGACAGAATTGCAAAGCCCAGTTTTTCAGACTGGATTACGCATAAAACCTCTTAATTTTGATAAATCTGGATTGATAATTTTTGCCCGATTAAAATAAGTCCTCTATACTTCGGATGTGATGAAGGACTGATGTGTAATACGGTGAAATTGTTAAAATTTCAATTGATTTTTGTGCACGATTACAATACTTTCTCTATACTTCGTATATACGAGAAAGTAAAAAGTGGATCAATGTCAAATATCATTTTCGTTTATATTCTTAGAAAAAGTAGATACATTTCAATAACATAATAACAGTAGGGTAGAACAATCAAATTAATATAACTATATTTTCTAATTTTGACAAGGGAGGTAATTTACTCACCATAAAAAAATGTGAATGCAAATCTACGGACCTCCTAGAAGGAATTAGTGTTGCAATAATATAATAAGCAAAATGTGAATGTAAATTATGCGGATGTTTAAGAGGAAATTATTTTTAGAAAATTATAATTAGCATGGATTGATAAAAGGCAATCTTTTATTTATTTTATTCACATAATTTAATAACTGGACTTTACATTTATTACAAAATGAATTATTTTTATATAGTACAATAATAGCAAAAATAATTATTGATGTACAATGATTACAAAATGAATTGTTTTAAATATAAAATGACTGCAAAAAAAAGAATTGGTATAATTTCATACAATAATTTAAGAAAGTATTCAATGTATTTTAATATCATACAACATTGCTCAATGAAAAATGTAATGAGATTGTGAAGCCATAAACCTGATAGCTTTAAAACCATCCATACACAAGTGTTGTGTTCCATACACAAATGTTGTATCAATGTCTAATACTAGAGGAGGAGATGAAACAATCAGTTTATGGCCTGACTCAGTAACACAGCCAGTTGACAAATTGTGTGGGAAGTGGAAAGGCTTGGGACAATTAATTGGAGGGGGGGGGGGGACGTGGGACAATAACAAGTGCGGTGCTAATTGCGAGCTAGACTTCAACACGTTCAATTTAATGTTCAGGTTAAGCTACAGCTATATTTTCTACACCATATGCTACGAGTCCATATTTAATATGTCTAGTTTTAGTTCAGGTTAAGCTACAGCTGTATTTTCTACACCATATGCTACGAGTCCATATTTAATCTGTCAAGTTTTAGTTCTAAATTGTAAACACGAGTAAGTCTATTTTAAGTAGCCAACTAGATCTCAGTGTTTCTTCCAGACTTTTTTTCCGCGGGAAAAGGGGGGGCCGCACCCCCCCCCCCCCCCCCCCCGCAAGAGATGTCTGGAAGAAACTCTGCTAGATCTAGAAGGCAAATTAAAAGTCATCTCTATAATTATAGAATGCTCAGTGCTTGATCGGTGGCTATTTTTAATTTTATCAACTGAGATTAGGCATAGTTCTGGTTAACTAATCCTAGAGTTCTAAATCTAGAACTATAAGTAGATCTTCATTACTATGATTCTACGTGGGTCTATAATCTAATTATCCAAAGGATGACATGTAGTCTAGTATTCCTTTATAAGCTATTTAATAAAAGTCAACATTGTCATTAGTTTACTGTTAACTAAACGTTTTCCTTATTAAAATTATTTAGTTGAAAGCTATCTCTAGTAGCAGACAATATTCTCTATACTTTTATCTTGATCTAGACTTCTCGATTCTAAAAGATCTACATTCAAATATAAATTTTGTTTTGTTCTGCTAAAATTGTTTATTTCAAATTGAATTTAAATATCTTTTTTTTTTCATTGATAAATGAATTAAACAAATTTTATATGTATATGAGGTTTAAAAAAAAATATTTTAAAAATGAAAATGTATTTAATGCACGATAAAAAACAAAACAAAAATATCAATTCAGATTTACTTAGTGATGTGTATTTTTGGCTTTTTAGCGGTCATCCATAAATGACATCACGCTTTTTTTTACGATTTTTACCTCCCCCCTCCGTCACACATCGTCACAAAAAGCCAGACCCCCCACCTAAAATGAAGTCACACCTCAGCCTAAAGCCCCCCCCCCCCCCCCCCCTCAAAATTGCAGTGATTTTTCTTAAAACATCGATATTATTCCAAAGTCTGTCAACACAGTGTATTTTGATCAATTCATATTACAATTAATTTAAAACTGTTTTCTAAACCGCAAAATAACGGCTAAAACTCCTTTTCTAACATTTTATAATGAAAAAGTGTGACGTCAGACCATCTGAACCCGCCCCCCCCCCCCCCACCACCACCATTCATCACACACCGTCACAAAATAACGGAAGCCCTCCCCCCCCCACCACCACCATTCATCACACACCGTCACAAAATAACGGAAGCCCTCCCCCCCCCACCACCACCATTCATCACACACCGTCACAAAATAACGGAAGCCCTCCCCCCCCCACCACCATTCATCACACACCGTCACAAAATAACGGAAGCCCTCCCCCCCCCACCACCACCATTCATCACACACCGTCACAAAATAACGGAAGCCCTCCCCCCCCCCCACCACCACCACCATTCATCACACACCGTCACAAAATAACGGAAGCCCCCCCCCCACCACCACCATTCATCACACACCGTCACAAAATAACGGAAGCCCTCCCCCCCCCCACCACCACCACCATTCATCACACACCCGTCACAAAATAACGGAAGCCCCCCCCCCACCACCACCATCATCACACACCGTCACAAAATAACGGAAGCCCTCCTCCCCCCCCCTACCGAGTTGACGACAGAGGCGTAGCGATCCGATCCGGCGCCCGGGACTAACTATCAACTTTGCGCCTCCTCCCTCCTCGTGTGTATCGTTATTCACATTGGCATTAGCAAAAAAGCTCCCTCCTTCCCCCCCCCCCCATACACACCCCCCAGTTAGGAAACATCGTGGGCGCTTTTTACCAGTCTTTGTCCCTTAATGGTTTCGTTAAATTCGATGTAGAAAACAGTTAAATAAGCCCGTAAAAACGACTAATGGTCTATTTTCCATAGCTTCGACTGTGTATAATTTAGTAATGCAGGCCCGCAGCTTTTTTATTTATTTTTCTATCCCTTTCGGCGCACCCCCCCCCCCCCCCTCAGGTCGGTGCCTGGGGCAGCAGCCCCACCCGCCCTTCCTTAGCTACGCCTCTGCAGATAGGGTAAATTCAAACACATTTAAAAAAATACATATCGATCTAGGCATATTATGTAGTATGTGTACATTTTTCTCCAATATATAACATATTATTTAAATGTTATATTATTATCTTTTTGTGCCATGTTAGTGCAATATGAAATGTTCATTGGAAAACACTGGAGTTCATTTCTCTAGATCTAGCCTATTTCTCTATATCTAGCCTATGGATCTACGCACTTGGGGCAGATTCGTGGACAATTTGGGCATATTTAGAGACACTTGGGGCAGATTTACATATGGAAATGATTGAAAACCTCGTTCCCATGACCTACCTGCACCAATGTTCTAAACTATATTGTTTGAACATCCTATAACAGTCTTATGTTGAGACAACGTATTTGAGGACTAAGTATTTAAACAAGATCATAAAATGTTTTACAAACATAGGGCCAGATCCTAAGAGATTGCTACAGGGTTGGATGGGAGGGGGGGGGGGGTGTACACATTCTAGCAAAAATGAGCTGCACTAACATAAGTCATTTGATCACAATATTAGCAGTCATTTCAAAATATAGTGGGTTCAAACAGAAATTGCTACACTTATTTAACAATGGCAAAAATCTGAAATCAACTATAGAATAAGAAATTAGCAACTAAGGCAAATCATAGCACCTGTTGCAAATCTACCAGTTGAGATTGTCCTTCAAAAGTCAAGATAAGAAGATACGAGAATAGCCTTGGTGACCTGTCTGGTGACCTGTCTGGTGACCTGTCTGGTGACCTGTCTGATGTTCAGTTGTCTTTGACCTGGTTCACTTGGTCTATCTCCGTGTACAAAGATTCCTCTTGAATGCTTAAATTCATGTACACCTGCTCAAAGGATTGATTCAAATATTTTAAATATAGGATAATAGATAGATAGATCTATAGACGTATAAATAAGCTGGGGAGGAAAAAGTCTGAAAGAAACACTGGTCGCATTTGTAGATCATACAAACTAAAGGAAGAATCTGGGCGGGGCTTCGCCCCTACCGGAAGAAATGCATAAAAAAAAACTGCACGCTAAACACTATTTAGATTAGAAAAAGTTCCCCCTCAGGGGGGGAGGGGGGGTGGGAGTCTGAAAGAAACACTGGTGTCGCGCTTAGCCACTTCCCAAAGAATTGCATGTAAGAAACTCTTTTAGGGGGATGGATTAGACGTTCTACCAGGGTATTGCGAAGTGAGTTTCGGTACAGGGTCGATGCTGAACGTTACGAACAATACGCATTCATAATCTTTTATTAATACCGCTACACACATACTCTCAAACCATCCACAACTATATTAACTCCATTCAACTACACACATACTCTCAAACTCATTCCATACACTTAGGTCCATTCACAACACAGGGGGGAGGGGGGGGGGGTTAAATGGGCTTCGCCCCTACCCGAAGAGATGCATGAAAAAAAACTGCACGCCAAACACTTTTTAGATTAGAAAAAGTTCCCCCCTCCGGGGAGGAAAAAGTCTGAAAGAAACACTGGTGTCGGCTTACCCAAAGAATTGCATGTAAGAAACTCTTTTAGGGGGAGGGATTAGACGTTCTACCAGCGGGGGGGGGGGGGGGGTAAATGGGCTTCTCCCTTACCCGAAGAGATGCATGAAAGAAACTCTGCAAGTAAACCACTTTTTAGATTAGACACATGAATTAGGCTGTAATTTTATTATAGAGTATCGATGACGACATTTCTTTTGAGGGGGGGGGGGGGGGAAATCGGCTTAGACTTTCTTACGCGGGGGATGGGCTTCGCCCCTACCCGAAGAATTGTATAAAAGAAACTCTTCACACAAACCACTTTTAAGATTAGACAAAATTGGCTTTTTAATTCAATGTTTACTCGAGAATCAATGACGTCATATTACTGTGTGCACTCTCCGGCTTGATACTATTTTCTACTATGCTCCAATGTGACGTCATGTTTCGCTCCCGTTTCACTATGCATGTTTTTAATTTGCTTGTGTTTTCTCTATAGAGTTCTTGTCAGATACATAGATAGATAGATAGATAGATAGATAGATAGATAGATAGATAGATAGATAGATAGATAGATAGATAGATAGATAGATAGATAGATAGATAGATAGATAGATAGATAGATAGATAGATAGATAGATAGATAGATAGATAGATAGATAGATAGATAGATAGATAGATAGATAGATAGATAGATAGATAGATAGATAGATAGATAGATAGATAGATAGATAGACAGACAGACAGACAGACAGACAGACAGACAGACAGACAGACAGACAGACAGACAGACAGACAGACAGACAGACAGACAGATAGATAGATAGATAGATAGATAGATAGATAGATAGATAGATAGATAGATACATAGACAGACAGCGAAACTATTGTATAGAATGAGACCCAAGCTTTTCCTAGTAATTTAAATAGTAGTGTATTATAATATATTTAAAGAAAATCATTTATTTTCTCATTTTTACTACAATATTAAATAAAAGCTTGTTACTAAAAAATGTTTTTTTATGCAATTTCTTTTCAGTACTTTAATTTATTTTTATTTACAAATAGAGTTGCATGACAAAAAACTATTGCACACTAAACTAAGATGATAATGTGCGTATAATAGTGCGGAAATAGTAATATCTAATATATAAAGCTCAATTCTGTATGTAACATGTAATAAGTTTGTCGTTGACATACTTGGATGGATTTAAGTGTTAGATTATTATCGTGCTCATAGTCTAGATTTATAAGTTAAAAAATTACTATTGAAAGTGTTGAGAAATAATTTTCATTTTTCAAACTGATAGTAATAATTGTCGGCATGTTCATTAAACACAATTTTAAAAAATTATCATCTTTTACAAAAAGTCTAATTATGTCTGAAAATTATTTATGTTTAGTCCATTAGCACTTACTTCCCTTTGATAAATTAGGAAAACAAAATTACTTCCCTTTATAAAACATTGCATTAGTGGAAAAGAATTTACTTTTTATTACTTTGTTTTGGTGTTGGGAAAAAAATAATAACATAATTAGCGGGGATTGATCAAGTGTAAATGTTGTAGGTATTTTACGAATAAGCTTGGAGTATTATAATTGTTCATTTGGTTTGGTTTGGCACCTACATTCCTTTAAGTGAGTGCAAAAGACTATGAATAAGTTGGGGTACTATAGTCGATTATTAAACTCAAACAGGCGATTCTGCCCCGGGCTAGACTGTGAGCACTTTGCGTTTATGTAAGCGTTTGTGTTTTCTTTGTGTTTAGGTTGGGTTTGCGTTAGTGGTTGCGTTTTGATTTGGTTCGTTTTTGTTCTTTCTTTTTTCATTTTCGTTTGTATTTTTTTCTTTGGGTTTGTGTTTGTATTTGTGTTTGTGGTTGGTTTTGCGTTTGGATTTGGTTTGTTTTCGTTTGCTTTTTCGTTTGTGTTTTTTCTTTAGGTTTGTGTTTGTGGTTGGGTTTGGATTTGGTTTGTTTTCGTTTGCTTTTTAGTTTGTTTTTTTCTTTGTGTTCGTATTGGTGTTTGTGGCTGTGGTTGGGTTTGTTGTTAGGTTTTTGTTTTCGTTTGCTTTTTTGTTTGTTTTTTCTTTGTGTTTGTATTGGTGTTTGTTGTTGTGGTTGGGTTTGTTGTTAGGTTTTTGTTTTCGTTTGTATTTGTTATTGTGTTAGCGTTATGTTTGCGGTTTGTTGTTTTGGTTTTGGTTGGTTGTGGTTTGGGCGGGCAGTGCCGGGTTTATGATGATTACTAAACACACAGGTAATGGTCTTTAACAGAAAGGTTTTTCACAGAAGCCAGAGCAGGGCCTGGCCGGGACGGCTAGTCTAAAATATAAAGCTCAATTCTGTATGTGTGTAATAAATTTGTCGTTGGCATACTTCCATGGATTTAAGTGTTAGATTATTATCGTGCTCATAGTCTACATTTATGAGTTTAAAAATTACTATTGAAAGTGTTGGGAAATAATTTTCATTTTTCAAACTGATAGTAATAATTGTCGGCATGTTGAATTAAACACAATTTTTAAAAATTATCATCTTTTACAAAAATTCTAATTATGTCTGAAAATTATTTATGTTTAGTCCATTAGCACTTACTTCCCTTTGATAAATTAGGAAAACAAAATTACTTCCCTTTAAAAAACATTGCATTAGTGGAAAATAATTTACTTTTTATTACTTGGTTTTGGTGTTGGGAAACAAAAAATTACATAATTAGCGGGGATTGATCAAGTGTAAATGTTGTAGGTATTTTAAAGATAAGCTTGGAGTATTATAATTATTCATTTGGTTTGGTTTGGCACTTACGTTCGTTTAAGTGAGTGCAAAAGACTATGAATAAGTTGGGGTACTATAGTCGTTTATTAAACTGAAACAGGCGATTCTGCCCCGGGCTAGACTCTGAACACTTTGCGTTTATGTTCGCGTTTGTGTTTTCATTGTGTTTAGGTTGGGTTTGCGTTAGTGGTTGTGTTATGATTTGGTTCGTTTTTGTTGTTTCTTTTTTCGTTTTTGTTTGTGTTTTTTTTTCTTTGGGTTTGTGTTTGTATTTGTGTTTGTGGTTGGTTTTGCGTTTGGATTTGGTTTGTTTTCGTTTGCTTTTTCGTTTTTTTTTTCTTTGTGTTCGTATTGGTGTTTGTGGTTGTGGTTGGGTTTGTTGTTAGGTTTTTTTTTTCGTTAGCTTTTTGTTTGTTTTTTCTTTGTGTTTGTATTGGTGTTTGTGGTTGTGTTTGTTGTTAGGTTTTTGTTTTCGTTTGTAATTGTGTTAGCGTTATGTTTGCGTTTTGTTGTTTTGGTTTTGGTTGGTTGTGGTTTGGGTGGGCAATGCCGGGTTTATGATGATTACTAAACACACAGGTAATGGTCTTTAACAGAAAAGTTTTTCACAGAAGCCAGAGCAGCGCCTGGCCGGGACGGCTAGTAATATATAAAGTTCAATTCTGTATGTATGTATGTAGCGAACAGCGGACGGACCCGTGATTACAAAAAATAGAGGGAAAATATAATATAATAGAGTGATATATCTAAAGTGCTCATCTAAATTGATGATATAAAAAATTAATAATAAATGTCATTTTCCAAACTTACAGTGTTAATTGACAGCATGTTCATTGAACAAAATTATAGAAAATGTATCAGCCTTCACACAAATTCTAATTGTGTATGAAAATTATTTACATTTAGTCCTTTAGCACTTACTACGTCCTTTGATAAATTAGAAAAACACAATTTAGGCCTACTTCCTTTTAAAAAAATATTACATCGGAGGAATTTTTTTTTACTGTTTATTACTTTGTTTTGGTGTTGGGAAAAAATAAATTACACAATTAAGGTGGATTGATCAAGGGAAAAGGTTAAGTAAAAACACAGATATTTAAAATACTGCCTTTTATTTATTTTATACACTGAACGAATTGTTTATTAATATATATTTTTTAAAAAATCATACAGTGGAACTTCAACAATTGAGTGCCCTAACATCAGTGGCGTAGCGAGTTCGGGTGTCACCCGGTGCGGCACTTAATGGTGTCACCCGCCAGATGCGTAGTCACCCTTCCCGGGGACAAACTTTCAAATTTTCGATTTGCACCTCCCCCCTAACATTTGATTTGCACCCCCCCCCCTCAAGTTTTTCTCTATATATTTTGCTATTTTTTGCCTTGGTGTCACCCCCCTAAATGGTGTCACCCGGTGCGGTCCGCATCCCAGCCCCCCCCCCTCGCTACGCCTCTGCCTAACATACAGTGGCACTTCAACAACTGAGTGCCCTAATATACAGTGGCACTTCAACAACTGAGTGCCCTAATATACAGTGTCACTTCAACAACTGAGTGCTCTAATATACAGTGGCACTTCAACAACTGAGTGCCCTAATATACAGTGGTGGCACTTCAACAACTGAGTGCCCTAATATACAGTGTCACTTCAACAACTGAATGCCCTAATATACAGTGTCACTTCAACAACTGAGTGCCCTAATATACAGTGGTGGCACTTCAACAACTGAGTGCCCTAATATACAGTGTCACTTCAACAACTGAGTGCCCTAATATACAGTGGTGGCACTTCAACAACTGAGTGCCCTAATATACAGTGGCACTTCAACAACTGAGTGCCCTAATATGAGCTTTTTCAGTTCAGAGCTTCGGCCAACCGTATAATAGGTTTTTACAAGATTTTAATTTACAAATTAATTTAAGTAATATATAAGTGTGGAACTATTAGATTAGTCACATAAAGTGTGGAACTATTAGATTTGTCACATAAAGTGTGGAACTATTAGATTAGTCACATAAAGTGTGGAACTATTAGATTAGTCACATAAAGTGTGGAACTATTAGATTAGTCACATAAAGTGTGGAACTATTAGATTAGTCACATAAAGTGTGGAACTATTAGATTAGTCACATAAAGTGTGGAACTATTAGATTAGTCACATAAAGTGTGGAACTATTAGATTAGTCACATAAAGTGTGGAACTATTAGATTAGTCACATAAAGTGTGGAACTATTAGATTAGTCACATAAAGTGTGGAACTATTAGATTAGTCACATAAAGTGTGGAACTATTAGATTAGTCACATAAAGTGTGGAACTATTAGATTAGTCACATAAAGTGTGGAACTATTAGATTAGTCACATAAAGTGTGGAACTATTAGATTAGTCACATAAAGTGTGGAACTATTAGATTAGTCACATACAGTGTGGAACTATTAGATTAGTCACATAAAGTGTGGAACTATTAGATTAGTCACATAAAGTGTGGAACTATTAGATTAGTCACATAAAGTGTGGAACTATTAGATTAGTCACATTAAGTGTGGAACTATGAGATTAGTCAGATGACGTGTGGAACTACCTGGCTGTTCTCCAACATCCGCCCCAGTCGGGCCACAAGTTCGTCTATCGTCGGTCTCCTCTCTGGGGTCTCGTGCCAACACTGTAGCATCATCGCGTACCTGGGGGAGGAGAGGGTCAAGGTCAGACAAAGATGGCGGCATCAAGGTAACATTAATCACGTGCCTAACTTAGCCTAGGCCTGAGTCTAAAGGTAAACATCCATGGCCGAATCAAATGACTCATTTGTAACATCATCCAAAGACTTTCTCAATTGTAACATCATCCAAAGACTTTCTCAATTGTAACATCATCCAAAGACTTTCTCATTTGTAACATCATGCAAAGACTTTCTCAATTGTAACATCATCCAAAGACTTTCTCAATTGTAACATCATTCAAAGACTTTCTCAATTGTAACATCATCCAAAGACTTTCTCAATTGTAACATCATCCAAAGACTTTCTCAATTGTAACATCATCCAAAGACTTTCTCAATTGTAACATCATCCAAAGACTTTCTCAATTGTAACATCATCCAAAGACTTTCTCAATTGTAACATCATCCAAAGACTTTCTCAGTTGTAACATCATCCAAAGACTTTCTCAATTGTAACATCATCCAAAGACTTTCTCAATTGTAACATCATCCAAAGACTTTCTCAATTGTAACATCATCCAAAGACTTTCTCAATTGTAACATCATCCAAAGACTTTCTCATTTGTAACATCATCCAAAGACTTTCTCATTTGTAACATCATCCAAAGACTTTCTCAATTGTAACATCATCCAAAGACTTTCTCAATTGTAACATCATCCAAAGACTTTCTCAATTGTAACATCATCCAAAGACTTTCTCAATTGTAACATCATCCAAAGACTTTCTCAATTGTAACATCATCCAAAGACTTTCTCAATTGTAACATCATCCAAAGACTTTCTCAATTGTAACATCATCCAAAGACTTTCTCAATTGTAACATCATCCAAAGACTTTCTCAATTGTAACATCATCCAAATGACTTCACAAGAGAAAATCATAATGTGACGTGCAACCTTTCCTCTAAACCTAGGGGAGGGGGGGGGGTTTCTGACATAGAAAATGGTGTTGGGAGACCACGCCCACCTACAAAACAGTTTTTGTGTGCACTTAAATAGCCGGTTCCTAAAGTCAAGGTTCAGTCACGTGACTTACGTATGCCTAGATCACGTGACTTACGTGTGCCTAGATCACGTGACTTACGTGTGCCTAGATCACGTGACTTACGTGTGCCTAGATCACGTGACTTACGTGTGCCTAGATCACGTGACTTACGTGTGCCTAGATCACGTGACTTACGTGTGCCTAGATGACGTGACTTACATATCTGGCTCACAAAGCCTGGGTTTCCTCAGCCTGTGACCATCCTTGAGGTAGTTGAAGAGCTGCTGGCTGTCTATACTGGAGTAGGGCGTCCCCCCCAGGGTGAACATCTCCCACAGCAACACGCCAAACGACCAGCTGAAAGATAGGGACAGTCAACATTTAGGGACAGTCAACATTTAGGGACAGTCAACATTTAGGGACAGTCAACATTTAGGGACAGTCAACATTTAGAGACAGTCAACATTTAGAGACAGTCAACATTTAGGGACAGTCAACATTTAGAGACAGTCAACATTTAGGGACAGTCAACATTTAGAGACAGTCAACATTTAGAGACAGTCAACATTTAGGGACAGTCAACATTTAGAGACAGATTTAGAGACAGTCAACATTTAGAGACAGTCAACATTTAGAGACAGTAACATTTAGAGACAGTCAACATTTAGGATCTATATTTAGGTGGGTCGCGAATTTGTAACACCAAAGGACGTGCTGTCTCGAGTGTACGTTAATCCCCATCCCCCTGTTTCGAGTGTACGTTAATCCCCCTATCCCCTCCCCTGTCTACGTTAATCACCCTCCCCCCCCCCCCCACCGAAAGGGTGAGGTAGAATGTCCCTCTTTGACCAACCAGGTGTCAGGCGTTCGGTTTAGTGATTGGATATAGTGACCCACCTTCTCGGTAGTGTAGCGAGCTCTTTCAAACGAGTGTAAGATAGACAGATAGATAGATAAATGGTTCCATGACAAATGATCTCCGGACAAATTATCTCAGACAAAATATTTCATGGACAAATGATCTCAGACAAAATATTTCATGGACAAATTATCTCAGACAAAATAGTTCATGGACGAATGATCTCAAGGGCTAATCATCTGATGGACAAAAGATCTCAGAACAAAAGCTCAAATAGTCTAGCGCCGCTGTTGTCTAATCGTGTACAGATACACGCACTTGGTTTATTTTAGGTAGGAGTATTTAAATCTTGTTTCATAAAAATATTAGGCTTAAATGACGAATCATAATGAATATAACATTAGATTACACTTAAATTACTTGAACTGTCAGGTCAACTTGTTACACCCCTGATATTACAACAACGTGATTGATTATAATTATCTTTTAAAAATCGTGATTGATTATAATTATCTTTTAAAAATCGTGATTGATTATAATTATCTTTTAAAAATCGTTATTGATATAATTATCTTTTAAAAATCGTTATTGATTATAATTATCTTTTAAAAATCGTGATTGATTATAATTATCTTTTAAAAATCGTGATTGATTATAATTATCTTTTAAAAATCGTGATTGATTATAATTATCTTTTAAAAATCGTGATTGATTATAATTATCTTTTAAAAATCGCGATTGATTATAATTATCTTTTAAAAATCGTTATTGATTATAATTATCTTTTAAAAATCGTGATTGATTATAATTATCTTTTAAAAATCGTTATTGATTATAATTATCTTTTAAAAAATCGTTATTGATTATAATTATCTTTTAAAAATCGTTATTGATTATAATTATCTTTTAAAAATCGGAACTATACGAAAATTGTATTCAGGTAACAAAATTTGAAACATCTCTCCATACCTTTTTAAATAGGCCATCTGTTATAAACATGTAAGAGTTCTGTTATCTGGACCCAAAGTAAGGCACAGGATTATATATTAGATTTGCAGATCGTATAAAGTAAGCCTAGCCTGTTGTAGTTTATTTTCTGAACGTGTCTTATAGGCTAAGCGAGATCAATCAAAAACACATTTATTATCTTATAGAGAGCTCAGGTTAAATAAACATTACACATTGTCTGACTTGAAGCGATGACAGCTACAGTAGAGCTTGAGCGTCCGACTAAAAGACAACTGTATATTTTCCCAAACAAAATTTCCATACTATGAAAATTTAGAGGAAAAAAAAAGCTTATGGTTTTAATTTTCAACATTCATTTAAGAAACAAATAAAATCGATAGGAAAATTATGTTCCTATCGTTGATTGGAGAAAATTTTGAGGCCCCTAGAATTACGGATCTCCCGTTCAGCTCCTTAATCCGCCACTGTCAAAGAGCCATAGTCTTACAACTACATTTTCTATACTCTTGAGATAAACCTTCCTAGATCCTTTGAAGCTCCCACCTGGCGTCTTGTTTCGGTTTTAATTCTCCTATTACAAAAACGATGTATCAAAGCCACCTTTCAAAGAACTAGTATTCAACACAAAAGAGAGTTCACATGATTTCGATCGGTGCAAAAAACTGGACCAGAAGTCTATACATTTTTTAAATTATGCTTGGATAAACGCGCCGTTTGTAATAAGTAACGTAAAAATAAAACATGTTTTTCTTGCCTGTTTTGTTAAGATTCAATGTTTATTTCCTGAAACTAGTTGATAAATCAAATTGTGTGCTAGAAATAAAATGAATACTATTTTAGGGAGCAATGTCTAGGTAGGAGATGATGACAGCTGATATTTATGTTTAAATTTGTGTACATTTTTGATATTTCAAAAAATAATAATTAAAATGAGCTTGTGATGCAAATGTTAAAACTTGATTTTATAGTGATAGCTTGTGATGCAAATATCAAAACTTGATTTTATAGTGAAAATAATTAAGCTGCCATATTGTGGGCCCCGATCTTGCTGCTCTCTCACCCCCCCCCCCCCCCCCCCTTAACCCGCTACCGGCCTGAATGATACAACAGCCAATTGACGAACACGACATAGAGCCCGAGACATTTAATAAAAAGGGATGTTTAAAAATATTATACGCTACCGATGTACTGGGTATCAAATAAATAGTAAACAAATGTCGTTTTTAACTTTTCAGTCTTAAATGAACGTAATGCTTCAAATCCCGGTGTTTTTTTTTAAATCTCAGACACCAGTAGTCTAGAACACCTTATCCTAATCCTTAGACACCACTAGTCTAGAACACCTTATCCTTATCCTTAGATAGCAGTAGTCTAGAACACCTTATCCTTATCCTTAGATAGCAGTAGTCTAGAACACCTTATCCTAATCCTTAAATAGCACTAACCTAGTACACCTTATCCTAATCCTTAGATAGCACTAACCTAGAACACCTTATCCTAACCCTTAGATAGCAGTAGTCTAGAACAGCTTATCCTAATCGTTAGACACCAGTGGCCTAGACCAGTTTATCCTAATCCTTAGATATCAGTAGTCTAGAACAGCTTATCCTAATCGTTAGACACCAGTGGCCTAGACCAGTTTATGCTAATACTTAGATATCAGCAGTCTAGAACAGCTTATCCTAATCCTTAGATATCAGTAGTCTAGAACAGCTTATCCTAATCCTTAGATAGCACTAACCTAGTACACCTTATCCTAATACTTAGATAGCACTAACCTAGAACACCTTATCCTAACCCTTAGATAGCAGTAGTCTAGAACAGCTTATCCTAATCCTTAGACACCTAAGCCCATCAACTTACACGTCGCTCTGTAGTGTGTACGTGTTGCTGAACAAAGACTCCACGGCCATCCAGCGGATAGGGACACGGGTCTGGGAAAATTGGAAAACTTCATTAGGGACACGGGTCTGGGAAAATTGGAAAACTTTATTAGGGACACGGGTCTGGGAAAATTGAAAAACTTCATTAGTGACACGGGTCTGGGAAAATTGGAAAACTTCATTAGTGACACGGGTCTGGGAAAATTGGAAAATTTCATTAGGGACACGGGTCTGGGAAAATTGGAAAACTTTATTAGGGACACGGGTCTGGGAAAATTGGAAAACTTCATTAGGGACCCGGGTCTGGGAAAATTGGAAAACTTCATTAGGGACACGGGTCTGGGAAAATTGGAAAACTTCATTAAGGACACGGGTCTGGGAAAATTGGAAAACTTCATTAAGGACACGGGTCTGGGAAAATTGGAAAACTTCATTAGGGACACGGGTCTGGGAAAATTGGAAAACTTCATTAAGGACACGGGTCTGGGAAAATTGGAAAACTTCATTAGAGACCGGAGTCTGGGAAAATTGGAAATCTTCATTAGGGACACGGGTCTGGGAAAATTGGAAAACTTCATTAAGGACACGGGTCTGGGAAAATTGGAAATCTTCATTAGGGACACGGGTCTGGGAAAATTGGAAAACTTCATTAGGGACACGGGTCTGGGAAAATTGGAAAACTTCATTAAGGACACGGGTCTGGGAAAATTGGAAATCTTCATTAGGGACACGGGTCTGGGAAAATTGGAAAACTTCATTAGGGACACGGGTCTGGGAAAATTGGAAAACTTCATTAAGGACACGGGTCTGGGAAAATAGGAAAACTTCATTAGAGACTGGAGTCTGGGAAAATTGGAAAACTTCATTAGGGACACGGGTCTGGGAAAATTGGAAAACTTCATTAGGCACGCGGGTCTGGGAAAATTGGAAAACTTCATTAGGGACACGGGTCTGGGAGAATTGGAAAACTTCATTAGGGACACGGGTTTGGGAAAATTGGAAAACTTCATTAGGGACACGGGTCTGGGAAAATTGGAAAACTTCATTAAGGACACGGGTCTGGGAAAATTGGAAAACTTCATTAGGGACACGGGTCTGGGAAAATTGGAAAACTTCATTAAGGACACGGGTCTGGGAAAATTGGAAAACTTCATTAGAGACCGGAGTCTGGGAAAATTGGAAATCTTCATTAGGGACACGGGTCTGGGAAAATTGGAAAACTTCATTAAGGACACGGGTCTGGGAAAATTGGAAATCTTCATTAGGGACACGGGTCTGGGAAAATTGGAAAACTTCATTAGGGACACGGGTCTGGGAAAATTGGAAAACTTCATTAAGGACACGGGTCTGGGAAAATTGGAAATCTTCATTAGGGACACGGGTCTGGGAAAATTGGAAAACTTCATTAGGGACACGGGTCTGGGAAAATTGGAAAACTTCATTAAGGACACGGGTCTGGGAAAATAGGAAAACTTCATTAGAGACTGGAGTCTGGGAAAATTGGAAAACTTCATTAGGGACACGGGTCTGGGAAAATTGGAAAACTTCATTAGGCACGCGGGTCTGGGAAAATTGGAAAACTTCATTAGGGACACGGGTCTGGGAGAATTGGAAAACTTCATTAGGGACACGGGTTTGGGAAAATTGGAAAACTTCATTAGGGACACGGGTCTGGGAAAATTGGAAAACTTCATTAGGGACGCGGGTCTGGGAAAATTGGAAAACTTCATTAGGGACACGGGTCTGGGAAAATTGGAAAACTTCATTAGGGACACGGGTCTGGGAAAATTGGAAAACTTCATTAAGGACACGGGTCTGGGAAAATTGGAAAACTTCATTAGGGACACGGGTCTGGGAAAATTGGAAAACTTCATTAGGGACACGGGTCTGGGAAAATTGGAAAACTTCATTCAAACATTCTTTAGCAAATGCTTGCTCTAATCAATGATCGTTAGGGAATAACGATATGAAGGAAATTATGGAGAAGAAAAAACTTACACTTGACGTTTTGACGTAGGTCTGGTCATTCTTAGATAGGCCGAAGTCCGCGATTTTCGCAACTAATTTATCTGCTAAGAGGACATTTCTAGCAGCCACATCTCTGTGAATTATCTGGAGAAAAATAGACATGAGACAAATAGGACATGAGACAGTAGGACATGAGACAGTAGGACATGAGACAGCAGGACATGAGACAGTAGGACATGAGACAGCAGGACATGAGACAGTAGGACATGAGACAGTAGGACATGAGACAGCAGGACATGAGACAGTAGGACATGAGACAGCAGGACATGAGACAGCAGGACATGAGACAGTAGGACATGAGACAGTAGGACATGAGACAGTAGGACATGAGACAGTAGGATATGAGACAGTAGGACATGAGACAGTAGGACATGAGACAGTAGGACATGAGACAGTAGGACATAAGACAGTAGGACATAAGACAGTAGGACATAAGACAGTAGGACATGAGACAGTAGGACATGACACAGTAGGACATGAGACAGTAGGACATGAGACAGCAGGACATGAGACAGTAGGACATGACACAGTAGGACATGAGACAGTAGGACATGAGACAGCAGGACATGAGACAGTAGGACATGAGACAGGACATGAGACAGCAGGACGTAAGGCAAGAAACTGACCTGTTTGTCCGCCAGATGCCCCAGCCCCCGTGCCGTGTCCAGAGAGAGTTTGATCAAGGTCTGTGGCCGGAGTGCCGTGTGCAGAAATGGTGATGACGTATTGTCGTACTCATGTAATGCCGTCAGACGGCGGCTGTGACGTAGAAATGTTCTCAGATCTCCGTGTTTGGCATATTCCATAGCCACGTACATTACGCCTGGGAAAAATTATAGAAGTCCGTGACGTCAGGTGGATGGGATATTTTGGGATGTGACTTTTTCTTATTTCTAATTTTCTTTGATAGTTTTTATTTTTAGTTACCTAAAATTATTTTAACTTTAAATAAAAACGTTGTTATTAAGAAAATATTCACCTTTCGTGCCCGCTTTTGTTACCGTTATTATAGCGTTAATCTAGCGTACGTTGTAGTCTATGTATAATGTATCTACCGGTATACTTAAGCAGCTAATGCTAGGCCTAGCTACTTCCTCTAACAATCTCCGTTTCATTTGATGTTAAAAACATTGCAAAATGTGACGATTTCTGTAGCAACGGTCGCTGCTTTCTATATTAAATTAATTTCTAGTGAGCCCCTTAATTTGCTACCCGACGACAGTGTGGTAACGGTTGACTGACCATGGGAAAAAAGGGAAGATAGAATCTATTTCTCCCTGAGTTTTAAAAATAACAAGCTACTGATCGGGTTTGAACGCAAATATTTGAAAGAGTATGTGATAACGACTGGACTGGAAAAAAAGGTAGAATATAAAAACTTTTTTTTTTCGCTCATCAGGTAGCGACTAATGCTCTTGTTAATGAAAGCAAGTTTGATAACAGGAGATAACAGAATTAATCGATAGGCAGGTGACAAGATGAGCAGGTGACAAGATGACCAGTGTGACAAGATGACCAGGTGACAAGATGACCAGGTGACAAGATGACCAGTGTGACAAGATGACCAGGTGACAAGATGACCAGGTGACAAGATAACCGGTGTGACAAGATGACCAGGTGACAAGATGACCGGTGTGACAAGATGACCGGTGTGACAAGATGACCAGGTGACAAGATGACCGGTGTGACAAGATGACCGGTGTGACAAGATGACCAGGTGACAAGATGACCGGTGTGACAAGATGACCAGGTGACAAGATGACCAGGTGACAAGATGACCAGGTGACAAGATGACCAGTGTGACAAGATGACCAGGTGACAAGATGACCAGGTGACAAGATGACCAGTGTGACAAGATGACCAGGTGACAAGATGACCAGGTGACAAGATGACCAGGTGACAAGATGACCAGGTGACAAGATGACCAGGTGACAAGATGACCAGGTGACAAGATGACCAGTGTGACAAGATGACCAGGTGACAAGATGACCAGGTGACAAGATGAGCAGGTGACAAGATGACCGGTGTGACAAGATGACCGGTGTGACAAAACGACCAGGTGACAAGATGACCAGGTGACAAGATGACCAGTGTGACAAGATGACCAGGTGACAAGATGACCGGTGTGACAAGATGACCAGGTGACAAGATGACCAGGTGACAAGATGACCAGGTGACAAGATGACCAGGTGACAAGATGACCAGGTGACAAGATGACCGGTGTGACAAAATGACCAGGTGACAAGATGACCAGGTGACAAGATGACCAGGTGACAAAATGACCGGTGTGACAAAATGACCAGGTGACAAGATGACCGGTGTGACAAGATGACCAGGTGACAAGATGACCAGGTGACAAGATGACCAGGTGACAAGATGACCAGGTGACAAGATGACCAGGTGACAAGATGACCAGGTGACAAGATGACCAGGTGACAAGATGACCAAGTGACAAGATGACCAGGTGACAAGATGACCAGGTGACAAGATGACCAGGTGACAAGATGACCAGGTGACAAGATGACCAGGTGACAAGATGACCAGGTGACAAGATGACCAGGTGACAAGATGACCAGGTGACAAGATGACCAGGTGACAAGATGACCAGGTGACAAGATGACCAGGTGACAAGATGACCGGTGTGACAAGATGACCAGGTGACAAGATGACAGGTGTGACAAGATGACCAGGTGACAAGATGACCAGGTGACAAGATGACCAGGTGACAAGATGACCGGTGTGACAAATGACCAGGTGATAAGATGACCGGTGTGACAAGATGACCAGGTGACAAGATGACCGGTGTGACAAGATGACCAGGTGACAAGATGACCAGGTGACAAGATGACCAGGTGACAAGATGACCAGGTGACAAGATGACCAGGTGACAAGATGACAGGTGTGACAAGATGACCTGGTGACAAGATGACCAGGTGACAAGATGACCAGGTAACAAGATGACCAGGTGACAAGATGACAAGTGTGACAAGATGACCAGGTGACAAGATGACCGGTGTGACAAGATGACCAGGTGACAAGATGACCAGGTGACAAGATGACCAGGTGACAAGATGACCAGGTGACAAGATGACCAGGTGACAAGATGACCAGGTGACAAGATGACCAGTGTGACAAGATGACCAGGTGACAAGATGACCAGGTGACAAGATGACCAGGTGACAAGATGACCAGGTGACAAAATGAGCAGGTGACAAGATGACCAGGTGACAAGATGACCGGTGTGACAAGATGACCAGGTGACAAGATGACCGGTGTGACAAGATGACCAGGTGACAAGATGACCAGGTGACAAGATGACCAGGTGACAAGATGACCAGGTGACAAGATGACCGGTGTGACAAGATGACCAGGTGACAAGATGACCAGGTGACAAGATGACCAGGTGACAAGATGACCAGGTGACAAGATGACCAGGTGACAAGATGACCAGGTGACAAGATGAGCAGGTGACAAGATGACCAGGTGACAAGATGACCAGGTGACAAGATGACCAGGTGACAAGATGAGCAGGTGACCGGTGTGACAAGATGACCAGTGACAAGATGACCAGGTGACAAGATGACCAGGTGACAAGATGACCGATGTGACAAGATGACCAGGTGACAAGATGACCGGTGTGACAAGATGACCAGGTGACAAGATGACCAGGTGACAAGATGACCAGGTGACAAGATGACCAGGTGACAAGATGACCGGTGTGACAAGATGACCAGGTGACAAGATGACCGGTGTGACAAACTTACTAATAAATCACGTGTTACAAGTGCCTACCTTTAATGTGGCAGGCGCCCACTAGGCAGACGACATTTTCATGTTTGCCCACACGTTTGAGAATAGCCAGTTCGTTTAGGAAGTCTCGCTTGTCCTTCTCAGAGGCGTTATCTAAACACAACACAATGTAGTCTAATTGACGATGTTTTAACACAAGAAAATGTAGTCTAATTGACGATGTTTTAACACAAGAAAATGTAGTCTAATTGACGATGTTTTAACACAAGAAAATGTAGTCTAATTGACGATGTTTTAACACAAGAAAATGTAGTCTAATTGACGAGGTTTTAACACAAGAAAATGTAAGCCAAATATGTATTGACGAGATTTGAACACAAGAAAATGTAAGCCAAATATGTATTGACGAGATTTGAACACAAGAAAATGTAAGCCAAATATGTATTGACGAGATTTGAACACAAGAAAATGTAAGCCAAATATGTATTGACGAGATTTGAACACAAGAAAATGTAAGCCAAATATGTATTGACGAGATTTGAACAGTTTTGAACATTGGGAATGAGTCAACTGACCTTTCAAAGACTTAATGGCCACGGGAACCTTGACCCCGTTTATTTTAACGTGACCTCTTTTAACTTGTCCAAACTGTCCGTTGCCCAGCAACTCGTTGCTAAGCGACAGCTGACCACGCTGGATCTCCCATGGGCTGCCAACAATTTGCTCGTAGGTGTTGGTCAGGTGCTCGTTACTCTGTGAGGGGGTTCATTAGGTGGGTCATTTCATTAGGTGGGTCATTTCATTAGGTGGGTCATTTCTTTAGGTGGGTCATTTCTTTAGGTGGGTCATTTCTTTAGGTGGGTCATTTCTTTAGGTGGGTCATTTCTTTAGGTGGGTCATTTCTTTAGGTGGGTCATTTCATTAGGTGGGTCATTTCATTAAACGGGTCATTTCATTAGGTGGGTCATTTCATTAGGTGGGTCATTTCATTAGATGGGTCATTTCTTTAGGTAGGTCATTTCATTAGGTGGGTCATTTCATTGAACGGGTCATTTCATTAGGTGGGTCATTTCATTAGGTGGGTCATTTCATTAGGTGGGTCATTTCTTTAGGTAGGTCATTTCATTAGGTGGGTCATTTCATTAGGTGGGTTATTTCATTAAACGGGTCATTTCATAAGGTGGGTCATTTCATTAGGTGGGTCATTTCATAAGGTGGGTCATTTCATTAGGTGGGTCATTTCTTTAGGTGGGTAATTTCATTAGATAGGTCATTTCCTTAGGTAAGTCATTTCATTAGGTGGGTCGTTTCCTTAGGTGGGTCATTTCATTAAACGGGTCATTTCATTAGGTGGGTCATTTCTTTAGGTAAGTCATTTCATTAGGTAGGCCATTTCATTAGGTAGGTCATTTCCTTAGGTAAGTGATTTCATTAGGTGGGTCATTTCATTAGGTGGGTAATTTCTTTAGGTAGGTCATTTCATTAGGTGGGTCATTTCATTAAACGAGTCATTTCATAAGGTGGGTCATTTCATTAGGTGGGTCATTTCAATAGGTGGGTAATTTCATTAGGTGTGTCATTTCTTTAGGTAAGTCATTTCATTAGGTGGGTCATCTCATTAGGTGGGTCATTTCATTAGGTGGGTCATTTTATTAAACGGGTTATTTCATAGGGTGGGTCATTTCATTAGGTGGGTCATTTCATAAGGTGGGTCATTTCATTAGGTGGGTCTTTTTTAGGTGGGTAATTTCATTAGATAGGTCATTTCCTTAGGTAAGTCATTTCCTTAGGTGGGTCATTTCATTAAACGGGTCATTTCATTAGATGGGTCATTTCTTTAGGTAAGTCATTTCATTAGGTAGGCCATTTCATTAGGTAGGTCATTTCCTTAGATAAGTGATTTCATTAGGTGGGTCATTTCATTAGGTGGGTCATTTCTTTAGGTAGGTCATTTCATTAGGTGGGTCATTTCATTAAACGAGTCATTTCATAAGGTGGGTCATTTCATTAGGTGGGTCATTTCATTAGGTGGGTCATTTCTTTAGGTAAGTCATTTCATTAGGTGGGTCATCTCATTAGGTGGGTCATTTCTTTAGGTAGGTCATTTCATAAGTTAGATAATTTCCTTAGGTAGGTCATTTCATTTGGTAGGTCATTTCCTTAGGTAAGTCATTTCATTAGGTAGGTAATTTCATTAGGTAGGTCATTTCATTAGGTAAGTCATTTCACAGAGCTGGGGGTGGGGACACAGAGCTGGGGGACGCAGAGCTGGGGGTGGGGACACAGAGCTGGGGGACGCAGAGCTGGGGATGTGGACACAGTGCTGGGGGTGGGGACACAGTGATGGGGGTGGGGACACAGAGCTGGGGGTGGGGGCACAGAGCTGGGGGACGCAGAGCTGGGGGTGGGGACACAGAGCTGGGGGACGCAGAGCTGGGGATGTGGACACAGTGCTGGGGGTGGGGACACAGTGCTGGGGGTGGGGACACAGAGCTGGGGATGGGGACACAGAGCTGGGGGACGCAGAGCTGGGGGTGGGGACACAGAGCTGGGGGTGGGGGCACAGAGCTGGGGGTGGGGACACAGAGCTGGGGGACGCAGAGCTGGGGGTGGGGACACAGTGTTGGGGGTGGGGACACAGAGCTGGGGGTGGTGACACAGTGCTGGGGGTGGGGACACAGTGTTGGGGGTGGGGACACAGAGCTGGGGGTGGGGACACAGTGCTGGGGTGGGGACACAGTGCTGGGGGTGGGGGCACAGAGCTGGGGGTGGGGACACAGTGTTGAAGGTGGGGGCACAGAGCTGGGGGTGGGGACAGTGCTGGGGGTGGGGACACAGTGCTGGGGGTGGGGGCACAGAGCTGGGGGTGGGGACACAGTGCTGGGGGTGGGGACATAGTGCTGGGGGTGGGGACACAGTGCTGGGGGTGGGGACAGTGCTGGGGGTGGGGGCGCAGTGCTGGGGGTGGGGCACAGAGCTGGGGGTGGGGACACAGTGCTGGCGGTTGGGGCACAGAGCTGGGGGTGGGGACAGTGCTGAGGGTGGGGACAGTGCTGGGGGTGGGGACAGTGCTGGGGGTGGGGATACAGAGCTGGGGGTTGGGGCACAGAGCTGGGGATGGGGACAGAACATGAAGGGGATGGGGTGACAACTTACCGAGGCGGTGTAGAGGCGTCTGAGGGCTGATTTCTTGGGTCGGACGACAAGGAAGTAGGTCGAGAAGGTTGCCAGAATGATGACGGCGCCAACCAATGAAATGACGAGGATGGGGAAGGACGGGGAGGTGTGGAAACCCGCGGCTGCCGTTGTCAGCACTCCTGTGGGGGAGCAGCAGAGAAGGTTATGGCTGCAGCTAGCTGCTGGCTTCAGCTAGGTTATGGCTGCAGCTAGGTTATGGCTGCAGCTAGCTGCTGGCTTCAGCTAGGTTATGGCTGCAGCTAGGTTATGGCTGCAGCTAGCTGCTGGCTTCAGCTAGGTTATGGCTGCAGCTAGCTGCTGGCTTCAGCTAGGTTATGGCTGCAGCTAGCTGCTGGCTTCAGCTAGGTTATGGCTGCATCTAGCTGCTGGCTTGGCAGGGCTTAAACTCTAACAAAAACCTTCATATAATCAATTAATGTTTTAGCTGGTAAAAGAAAAATCATTTTTATAAATTCAGCGTAGTTTAGCCTGTATAGCTCATCGTTGTTAAACCGAACAGTCTTTGAGTTCGAACCCCGGGCAGATTTGGCTCATTAGCTAGGGACAGAAATCCATCTAGGGGAGAAAACTCCAGTAACAAATAATTGCTGCCTTGCAGAGGCGTAGCTAGGGGGGGGGGGGGGCGGGGGTGTGGACCGCACCGGGTGACACCATTTAGGGGGGAAACCAAGGCAAAAAATTGCTAAATATATACAGAAAAATGATAATTCCACTTAGTTAAGTGATTAATTCGAGTGTTAAATTGTGTTTTAAGAGGTGCAAATCGAAAGTTTGAGGGGGTGGTGCAAATCGAAAATTGAAAGTTTGTCCCCGGGAAGGGTCGCTACGCCACTGGGGGGTGACACCATTAAGTGGCGCTCCGGGTGACACCCGACCTCGCTACGCCACTGCTGCCTTGTAGTTTATTATTAAATGGACAGAGGCTCTGGAAGCCACAAAGAAAAGCAGATCAATGGCCCAGACAACATGGCGTATCCAATGCTGGCATGCAGTTCTGTTGGAGGGAATCACGTCTAACATCACAATTAGGAAAGAGGAAAAAGAAGATAACTTCTTCTAAATAGGATAAGAAAGTTATATAATTATAATTAGGAATGAAATCGAGTGTTAGATTACATTGTCAGCGGATCTTGACCCACGTGCCAAGTGTGAAACGAATCGGTCAGTTAGAAGTGCTCGATATTTTCCTCGACAGTTTCGATCCATGAGGACAGTATAAGGACCAGCAAGTTAAACAAAACCGTGTAAAAAATAAGAAATTTATCAGTCGTTTAGTACTGCTTATATTTTGTTATTTTTATAGCTTAAAAAAAGGAATGATCTCATTACAAAACTGGTGTACGCCTCAATAAGTGACTGGTGGTATTTTAATCCCTCTTTGATTGCAATCTGTTGCTCAAAATATTGAGCGCATACATTCTTGTACGTCTAGAGGTAAGACCTCTATGTGGTTAGCTATTTATTACCCCAGCAAATATGACATTTTAACCCCCACCCCTCCCACCCACCTCTTTAATCAGCTGCTTTCAGTTCTAAGACATTTTAAATAGAAAACTAGATTCGCTTTGAAGTCTCGAAGGTAATTAAACAAAACGTTCACCGCGTTATGAAATCGTTTCACTTTCGATGTATGGCTAACAATCAATGTAAAACTATTTTCAATCGTGATTCATTGTCTTAATGATTTACAGCATATAATAATTTAATTCAAAACTTTGTTTATTATTATTTCAATAAAACGGGAGTGATCTCCCCTAAACTTTCTCGAATATTCTTATATAACACTACAAGGGATGGCAACTTGTGATATAGATATGATTTTTAATCAATTTCTAAATACTTAAACTTTTTAAAAATAGAATAGAATCTCGTAGAAAAAAAAATTGCATACCAAGTGAACGGCAAACAATATGTGTATAATAATGCGGAATATTTATCTATCTATCTATCTATCTATCTATCTATCTATCTATCTATCTATCTATCTATATATATATATATATATATATATATATATATATATATATATATATATATAAAGCAATGTATGTAGGTGTGTGTGTGTCTGTCTGTCTTTTATGCATTACTACACCTCTAATCACATTGCCGTGAAACTTTATGTAGTTGTTGTGAATATTCCTGGGGAGGTTTCTGCGGAAAAAAAATTTCAAATTTGCAGGGGTGGCGCCCCGGCAAGGCGCAATTGGTTTTTTCTCTATATACGGTATATAAAAATAAAAGTCGATATTGGTTTGACATCGTTCATTTGATAGCCATGAGACTTTGGGGTGTTCATTATAACACTCTAGGGAAGGGTTCTGTAAAAAATAATTTTTATTTTCTCAACAATTGGCTAGTTGTATTGTCTACGGAGGGCGGATGTATTTCCCTTGAGGCAACCCTCTGCCATCACAGCGGGCGGCCACCTTCGTACGAAGGTGTGTCTTTATTGTTATTTCATTTCCTTTGATCTAGTTTCGTCCAACTGACATGGTAGGTTTGTCTCATGTTTGGCAAGCTCACCTACGCTGTCTATAGAACAATTTCTTGAATCTTCGCATACTATATTAGTAATCTTAATTTTAAAATGTTTAGTGGAATATGACAAATTTATGCGGCAAACATTTTTGTTACAATTATTATATAGGCCTATAAACAATATTAAGGGCAGGTTAAACCCCCAAATTGAAATTTAGGTGTTAGGACTTTTTTGAGTGATAAGGAAGTTGTAACTAGCATAGTATATGAAAAAAATGCAAAAAAATCACTAAAATGTTTTGGTTTTGTGAAAATATTTTCTAAAAAGTGTCATTTTTAGGGTAAAATAGCTCAAAATTAGCTCTCATTGAAATCACAATAACACAGCTTCTTCTGTTTGTCAGAATAACACAAATCTTTAATATAGTGTAATTTACGCAATTACAAAAAAACATGAACTAAAACAATTAGAAAATAATAGAAAATGGATTTTAGCCAATTTTTTTAAATGTGAGACCTAAAATTTTTCCAAAAGTAGGGAGTAGACTTAGCTTTTTTTTTTATAAAATGAGAAGTTTCAAAGATATAGAAATTCTTTTAGTTCAACTTTACAAGCAGTGTTTATTAAACATGTGTCCAAAATTTCAGCTAAATATCTCAAGTAGTTTTTGAGTTATAGTGATTTAACTGATACTATTTTGTTGAAAAGTAACATTTTGAGAAAAACGCTAAATAGTGAAAAATATACTAAATTTGAAAACAAAGAGAAAAAGCGAAAACTATACCAAATAAGTCATTTTTAAAACCTCCCAGTTACATAAATTGCATCTGGGGCCTCTTACTCAGTAATAAGAACATCTATTTTAGTTAGTTTTTAATTTTTATTCTGCTAAATGTAGCTTAATATAGGTGAATTACGTCATTAGTCTCATTAATTGAAAAATTATAAAAAATACTAGCAATACGAAATTTTGCAAAATGATTATACAAAAATATTCAGAATTGAATGTAGTTTCAGAAACAATAGATTTTCAAAAATCAATATTTCTGACTTAAATATGTATTTTTTTTTTTTTTTGGGGGGGGGGGGGGGGTTTAACCTGCCCTTAAATAAAGTAAACAAAACCATGTGACTGTCAATAAAAAAATGTTAAGATCAACTAAAATCATCCTATACACTTTTAAAATTTTGCTGTGAGATATTTTGTCTGAGATATTTTGTCTGAGATCATTTGTCCATGGTATCATTTGTCCTGGTATATTTTGTCCTGGTATCTTTTGTCCGTGAGATCATTTGTCCTTGAGATCATTTGTCCTGAGATTATTTGTCCTGAGATCATTTGTCCGTGAGATATTTTGTCTGAGATATTTTGTCTGAGATATTTTGTCTGAGATCATTTGTCATGGAACCATATATATATATATATATATATATATATATATATATATATATATATATATATATATATATATATATACGAGAAAAATGGCCCGTTGAGGAAGGATACACCGGGCGCTAGGCTGATAGTGCTGTCTCTTTTCTCTAAACTAAAACCACCCCAGCCCCCCCACACACACACACACCACCACCCCCCACACCCCCCACCCACCCCACACACCCCCACACCACCCCCCCCCCCCCCACACCACCCCCCCCCCCCCACACCCCCCACACCCCGAAAAACATGTATACCGTCCCATTCAACGAAATATAATTATATACTTTTTCCAGTGTCCGCCCCCTCCCCGAAAATTCTACCCCCGCCCCCGAAAATTTCAAGTACCCCCACCCCTCTCCGGGGAGGAAAAAGTCTGAAAGAAACACTGGTGTCGCGCTTAGCCACTACGCGAAGAATTGCATTAAAGAAATTGCGAGAAAACCATTTTTTAGATTAGACACATTAATTAGGCGGTAATTTTACTATAGAGTATCGATGAGGAAATTTCTTTTGAGTTGGGGAGGGGGGGGGGGGCTCAGACGTTCTTACGCGGGGGGTGGGGCTTCGCCCCTACTCGAAGAATTCTATGCAAGAAACTCTTCACGCAAACCATTTAGATTAGACAACATTTCCTTTTTTTCAATGTTTCAATGACGTCATTACATTACTGTGTGCACTCTCTGGTTTGAGATTATGTTCTACTCTACGCTAAATGTGTCGACGTCATATTTCGTTTTTCGAATTACTGTGCAGGTTTTTAAATTCCTTGTGTTTTCTCTAGAGCGTTCTTGTCAGACAGATAGATAGATAGATAGATAGATAGATAGACAGACAGCGAAACTATTATTATAGACGAGAAAAATGGCCCGTTGAGGAAGGATACACCGGGCGCTAGGTTGATAGTGCTGTCTCTTTTCTCTAAACTAAAACCAACCCACCCCCCCCACACACACACCACCCCCCCCACCCCCCACCCCACACCCACCCCACACACCAGCCCCCACCCCACCCCACCCACCGCCACCCACCCCCACCCCACCCCCACCCCCCAAAAAACATGTCTACCGTCCCATTCAACGAAATATAATTATATACTTTTTCCAGTGTCCGCCCCCTCCCCGAAAATTTTACCCCCGCCCCCGAAAATTTCAAGTACCCCACCGCTCTCCGGGGAGGAAAAAGTCTGAAAGAAACACTGGTGTCGCGCTTAGCCACTACGCGAAGAATTGCATTAAAGAAATTGCGAGAAAACCACTTTTTAGATTAGACACATTAATTAGGCGGTAATTTTATTATAGAGTATCGATGAGGAAACCACCGCCCCACCCACCCCCCCACTCACACCTCCCCCCACCCCCCCCCCACCCCCCCACTTGGGGAGGGGGGAGGGGGGCTCAGACGTTCTTACGCGGGGGGTGGGGCTTCGCCCCTACCCGAAGAATTGTATGCAAGAAACTCTTCACGCAAACCATTAAGATTAGACAACATTTCCTTTTTATTCAATGTTAACGCGAAAATCAATGACGTCATATAACTGTGAGCACTCTCTGGGTTTGAGATTATTTTCTACTCTGTGCGCTAAATGTGTCGACGTCATACTTCGTTTTTCGAATTACTGTGCATGTTTTTATTTTCCTTGTGTTTTCTCTAGAGCGTTCTTGTCAGACAGATAGATAGATAGAGAGACAGCGAAACTATTATTATAGATATATATATATATATATATATATATATATATATATATATATATATATATATATATATATATATGTGTGTGTGTGTGTGTGTGTGTGTGTGTGTGTATCAATGTGTGTGTGTTTGTCTGTCTTTTATGCATTACTACACCTTTCATCCGATCACCATAAAACTTTGGGAAGTTGATGAGAATACTCCTGGGAGGGTTTCTGCGAAAATAAAATTCAAAATTCGCAGGGTAGCGACCCGATAGGGCGCGATTGTTTTTTCTATATATACGGTAAAAAAAAAAGTCGATTGCTGTTTCATACCGTTCATCCGATCGCTATTAAACTTGGAAGAATTGATTAGAGGTTTCCGTGTCTTTTCTTTTTACTTTCGCAAGGGCGAAAAAAATGAAAGTCGGAAGTGGTTCGACACCGTGCCATGAAACTTTGGGAAGTTGATGAGAATATTCTTGAGAAGGCTAATGCGAAAAAAAAATTAAAATTTCATATAGGCGTCGCCCGGGAGGGTGCAATTTTTGTCAATACACAGTTTGGCGCCCATGGTTATAGAGCGGCTATCTTAGCACATGGTATCCGTTAATCGGGCGTCCTGCATAGTGGGTAAGGAGTACTACTATATATTAAGTCGTAAAATTTCAACAGGCGCAGGCTTCGGCGCCCCGGCTATTGCGTGGCGAGAAGCGCCCCGGCCTGCGAGCACTTTGGCGCTTACGTTTGTTTTTTAAAAAGGCTATTAACTAAATACACGATGGTCAACATTAAACTTTGACTATGTCGAATCAAGCGCGTCCCCTGGCGCCCCTGCATGTTTCGATTTGCCACCCTGTGGCGTTCCCGTGAGCGCAATGGCGCCAATGTTTCTTCTAAACAGTATGATCGATAATGGATAATATGCGGCGTTATAGTTGCTCACTAAATTGAAACAGACGCGTTCGCTGGAGCCCCGGAAGGGTGCAATTTGGCGCCCCTGGCTATCCCGTGAGCGCTATTTCGCATACGTTTGTTTTAAACAGTGCAAAATAAGATGGGAATTGTTCACTAAACATAATCAGGCGTGTCCGCCGGCACACCGGCAGGGTGCGATTTGGCGCCTTGTGCTACCAGTGAGCACTACGGCGCCTACGTTAGTTTTAAGGAGCACCCTACAATAATGACAAGCAAACCGAGCTAGGGACCGTACGCGGCGCCCTTGCGGTAGTGTAATCAGGGGGTCACTTGAGCGCCCCTCTACGTCCCCGACACTTAGGCGGTGAGTGATTTACGTTGATTTTAGCACGCCCCATGGCTAGCTGGGTTGTGGTGTAGGTAAACACGTGTCCTGGTATTTATAATTCAAGCGCAGGCATTGTTTACGTTTAAATAACTCAGTTTTAGAAAAAAAGTTCGCGTCTAAGAATAAAGATTGGTAAAGCATTGATGAAACCCCCCTAATATATTTCGTCAGACTTTAATTGTCTTTTAAGCATTACTACAACTTTCATCCGATCGCCATCAAACTTGGGAAGTTGTTGGGAAAACTGGGGAGGTCTCTGCGGACAAAGAATATTTCAATTTCGCACGGGCGGCGCCCCGGTAGGGTTCAATTGGCGCCCAGGGCTATCCCGTTAGCTATGGTGCATACGTTAGTTTTAAACAATATGATAGAATACGTATAAAAAGTAGTATTATAGACAGTTTTAAACAATATGATAGAACACGTATAAAAAGTAATATTATAGACCGTTTTAAACAATATGATAGAATACGTATAAAAAGTAATATTATAGACAGTTTTAAACAATATGATAGAACACGTATAAAAAGTAGTATTATAGACAGTTTTAAACAATATGATAGAATACGTATAAAAAGTAATATTATAGACCGTTTTAAACAATATGATAGAACACGTATAAAAAGTAATATTATAGACCGTTTTAAACAATATGATAGAACACGTATAAAAAGTTTTATATTATAGACCGTTTTAAACAATATGATAGAACACGTATAAAAAGTAATATTATAGACCGTTTTAAACAATATGATAGAACACGTATAAAAAGTTTTATATTATAGACCGTTCACTAAATAAAATCAGGCGCGTCCGCCCGCGCACCAGGAGGGTGCGGTATACCACGGGCTATCCCCGGACTTACACACACAGAGATCAACATTTCAGCATTTCCGGTAACCAGAAATGGAATTTATTCTACTTTTGGTAACCGGAAGTGGAACTTATTCTACTTTTGGTTTTTCAAAAGCCTAACTTGAGTACTGTTTCAGATAGAAAACGAAATTTCACGTATAAGTAAAAGATCTCATCTCCGCCTTCTGTCAAATTTTGAGAAATTTCCGTTGACCGGAAGTAGAAATTTACGCTATTTCTGATTTCTCAAAAAACGAATATAAATTTATAAAATACTAATATTCCGCACTATTAAACACATATTGTTTGCCGTTCACTTGGTGCGCAATTCTTTTTTCTACGAGATTATATTCTATTTTAGAAAGTTTAAGTGTAACGCTCACTCCGTGGTGATGCTTTTTACCCACTGAGGTGTTGTGTTTAAAAGGGCTGACCCTGAGATTTAGGACACACTGAACCGACGCTGTTGTCAACTACTGGCTTTATTGACATAACATCGAGCCTTAAACGGCCATGTAGAACAACAGTAGAAAACAGTATAGAAAACAGTAGATCACAGCAAAACAAAAACCAAAGAAGACGATGATGACGACGACGATTAACGACGACTAAACGACGATTAAATTGTAGCCCTTCATTAGGTCTACATTGTCATGATCTACCTCTAGGTACCGTCACCCTCCGTGTCCACAGACAGCAGCCTTGGGTCTGACTGACACGGCTAGGCACGAACTACCCATAATCCCATGTCACATGACATGGGACACAGGTAAAATCGCTCACCAAAGAGCATGCAAAAAAACTACATCAACAGCTGCGGTCCCACAGGGGCCGCAACCCAATGAATTACAACTTTATTACTTATCCCCCCTTGGCTGGTAACCATATGTGTTACATAAGTATTTAAAATGGATTAAATCATGTCTATATCCCGAGTTGCCATCCCCTGTTGTTTTATATAAGAATATTCGAGAAAGTTTAGGGGAGATCACTCCGGCGTTATTCTGTTCACCAATCAAACATTCGTTCTAAACTTCTTAACATCTGTATGCCTATAAATAGAAGGTAAATATAGATCACCGTTAAGAGGAAATAATGGTTTAACACAGTATAGGGCTGGTAAGTAGATCACCAACCAGTTCTATGGCTCATGCAGGCAGGTTTTATTGAGCCGTAGAACTGGTTGGTGACCTACTTACCAGCCCTATACCTAGATAAGGGTTA